TAAAATATTTTTACTGGTTAAAGTGTATTGTTTTTATACATTTCCTGGCTATGAACCAAATGTATCACTGACAAAAAAAGTGATGGCATGATTGTTAATGTCCACAAATATTACTTTAATGTGGTAAGGACCACTGAAAATGACAGTATCAGTGATAATAATGCATCTCTTAGACTCTTTAAGCTCATTGGTTTCTAATTCATTCCACATTTACTGAACACCTATTGTGTTCCAGGGCATTTTACACATTCCTGTTGGAATTAATGGGCTCTTCCCTTGTAATTTTGTACACTCTTCATTGAAAAGAAACGGACTTCACTACTAAAGATGCACCCTGATACTATATCATGGAAGGTCCGATTTTCTATGTCTTTTCATTGGGGAATAACTATCACAGAGAAGTTAAAATTGTTTTCAAAGCACTGCAAACATAAGGCCACTCATCATGTGATTACTTGGAAGTGAGCATTCAGAGACAGAGAGGAAGCCTTCACAGCTGCTTCCCCTGATCTCCAACAAACACTTTCAACAAGCCTTGCTGCTCAGTCATCGTGTCTTACATTTTACTGTAATGTTTACACCAAATAACTTTTTCCTTGGGAAATGAGAAAAGAAAGTGTTCAGTAAAGAAAAGAGTTCACGTCTTTCTAATCTCTCTGCAGATCTTCCAACCAAGAAGCAACAACTACAGGCTTTGAACCTCCTTGTCATCCTTCTGCCTGATGCAAATAGAGACACATTGAAGGTCAGTTGTTTAATTTACATTAAATATCCTTAGAACTAAGCAGAGGTTGGGAAGCAGAAGATTGTGGTTAGGTTGAAGCCAGCTGCAGGCAAAAAGTTTGGGAGATCCCACCTCAATGTATAAAAAAACAGGCATGGTGGTCTATACCTGTTATCCCAGCTATGTGAGAAGGATCACTAGTTCTTGCATAAAGGTGGGACCTTACTTGAAAAATAACCTAAAGTAAAAAGAGCTGGATGCAGGACTCAAGTGGTTGAGCACCTGCCAAGCAAGTGTGAGGTTCTGAGTTCTAACTCCAGTGCTATGGGAAGGGAGGCAACCAACCAACAACCCCTCTGCCAAGAAAAAAATATGAAAAAACCTAAACAGAGTTATTTTTCATCATTTATGGTAAATAAATGGTGGTTAAGAGAAAGTCTCTTCATTTTTCATTAATTTATTTATTAAGTTGGTTACGTTTTTGTTAATGGGTTGTTTTTTAGCTTTCATTCTAACGTTTCTTTTATCAAAGCAATGAATGACTACGTTTCATGAGTTAATGGAACTGCAGCTACTTCTTTTGTTTTCTTCTTATTATTTTTCTCCATTTTCCAAATGGTATTTAATGAACTTGTATTAATAAGGTCAAAAATTAAATGTGTAAAATGAAAATCCTTAGGCTCATCAAATATAACCCTCTTTTACTTAAATATGTTTCAGTTGTTTGTCGTCCCAAGTGATGGAGTTTGAAACAAGTCATGATGGTGATAAGAAATATTTGTTAGCTTGTATGATAGAGGGGGTGAATTTCTTCAAGATATGCTGTACTAATATATATAATTATCACAGTGAAATCCCCTCAGTATTATTGTATGAGAAATCAAAAATAAAACATAACAAAGCAAAAAGAAATATTTGCTAGCCCAAAGATAGACCAACTTGAGTTATTTCCCTAAGGGCTTGAGTTTCTGATTTGTATCATTTTGAAGTGATTGGGTTCAGACCCAATCATGTGACTTAATACCATTTTTTATATGTGTTATCAGAAGCTCTTAATTTGTCATGTGTCTTAATACCATTTATTATATGTGTTATCAGAAGTTCTTGAAGTCAGTATGGACTGTTCCACATTTATTTATTTTCCTTAAAGGCAAAAGTTTAAGCCAGCATTGTAGTGTATACCTGTAGTTCTAGCACTAGGGAAGCAGAAGCAGTAGGGTGGTAAGTCCATGGCCAGGCTAGGCTACATAGTAAGACCCTGTCTCAAAAAAATTAAACAAAAAAAATTTATATAGTAGTAGTAAAGGGTTTAATTATAAACTGTCCTGAAAGAAAAATGGGGAAATTCAACATATAATTTAGAAACAATATTTGCCTTAAGTTTTGCTACTGCCTTAAATTATATATGTGTACACACATGCTAAAGATGCACCCCGATACCATATCAGGGAAGGTCCAATTTTCCATGTCTTTTCATTGGGTAACAATTATCAAGAGAAGTTAAAATTAAAACTCAAGGGATGTTTGCATTCAAATATTGTGTGAGTGGGGCTCCTGTGTGGAAGTGTGTAGATTGTGACAGAGAAATGGACCCAGGACAAAGTGGGTCTGTGTTCCCACATGTCCTCTGCTCGCCACCTTCAGCCTTCAGTTTTCCCTACTCAGAAAGAAGGAGGAATGTCTCTTTCTGACATGAAGGAACTTGTTTGAGTGACAGTCCTGTAAATGAGCAGTGTAAAGCCAGAATTGGAAGATACACAAATTAAATATACCTACAAACCAGTTCAGTGAGTTGTAGTAGGAATTACTCCAGGGTGGTTGATTTTGGACAAGGCTGCTCTAGAACTCTTTGGACTCTGCCTTCAACATCTCAGGCATGTTCTTTTAAACAGTTCTGTTTAAAATACATTTTTTTAAGTTTAAAATTTTAAACTTTAGGATAGTGCTCATGAGTTGGCTAGAAGTATGATTTTATAATTAAGAGGGAAAATACATATTTTTGGTCAAAATCTTAGAGATGCCAACAAGTAATTTTACTCATTTATTTAAGCTTTAGTGACTTAATTAGCTAGCGTTGATGAAAGTTTCAAACAAGAATTCTTATAATAGAAGCATTGTAACAACATGCCATAAACCATCCATTTGTAAACTGTAAGTTGAGCTCTGTAAAAAAGAAGGGAAAATCCATTGCAGTATAATTTCATAACATGAAATTCCCCCAAGCCAACCCATCTAGTGCTTGCACCAATCCTCCTTTGTCATTGGGGGAACAGAATTATGTGCGTGACCCATGTAGAATGTTTCTGTAGCAAACATTTCTGCAGGCTCATGGCTGAACGTTATATCCTGGCATAAGTGTAAAGGGACAGATTTTTTTTTTCTTTATGGTTCTGGGGTTTGAACTCAGGACCTACACCTTGGGCCACTCCACCAGCCCTGTTTTTGTAATGGTAAATGGTTTTTTCAAGATAGGGTTCCCAGAACTATTTGCCCAGGTTGGCTTTGAACCACAACTCTCCTGATCTGTACCTCCTGAGTAGTTAGGTTTACAGGTGTGAGAAGCTGGCACCTAGCTGGATAGATGGTTTTGGACCAGCTGCTTAACCAAAATTATTTTTTTCTTGGGTTATTGTGCACTTGAAATAACAATCACAGCTACCTTTGACTTGGAGGAATAGTGAAGACTGATTTTAAGATATGAAGAGGAAATCCCTGTTAAGATAATTGTTGACATTTATCTCTTTTATTGTTATTTACAGTGTCTCAATTCTCACTGTCCAGGAGACTAGTAATTCCATTTTATAAAGGAAAAAAATTCTAAAGGGCAGAGATGTACGATGTACTCTAAGCCCTCCCGTGGCTAATGAAACATGGGTTTTTCAGGGAAAGGGTCCTGTGGTGCCAAAGTTCATCATTAAGTGAAATTGTTTTAAAAGGGCAGTCCTTACAGTTTAGATGAAGAGAAAATATTGTAGTGTTTTTCATCAAGAGCAGGGCTACCATCTCATGAAGTTCATATCTTCTCACTTCTTCCCTTTCACCCTCTCCCTCTTTTTCTCTCTTCTCTAGTATTCTGATAGTAATATTTTGAATGTCTTATTGCCTATGAATACCACAATTAAAATAATTATGTAATATCTGTAACTTATGCTCACAAAGAGATACACTGTCTCTAAACAACTATTCTGGTCTCTGTAGAACAAAATTAAATCTTTTTTTCCAAACTTCAATTAATCTTTTGTCCTCAGTTGAGAACGGGTTGCTTCAGTATAACGTTATGCTTGGACCAGAAATTAGCTACATAAATCTTACTGGGAGGTATTAAGGGTTTGTTTTTACTTTGTTTCAAGTTTCTAAGGTCTATATTGCAGCCAAACTTGATGTAAAACCAACCTGTTAACATTTACAGGAGTGTTTTTTAAGTTTGCTTTTTTTTTTTGCCCTGGAATCTTGTGAGTTATTTTTGTTTTTTTCCATTTTAGTGTAGTGTATTTGACCTTTTTCAGGTAGGGCTTAAAGGGCAAATATAAAAGCATGATTCGTTTAGTAGTTCTGAGTTCAGAAACAAAAGCTAAATGGATCTGCAATTAAGTTCCTTCTCCACCATTTGTTATTTGTGTGACCTCCTGTAAGTTACTTAACATTCTCTAAAACTTAGTTTCCTCATCTGTCAAATAGGAATGATTACAGCATCTGTCTCCTGTAAGGATTAAGTAAGATGAGCTCTAAAATGACCATCATACACTGCCTTACTCGTGGAGATTGTGTCATACCTAGAAAAAATTAAGTGAAAAGGCAAAACCCTAAGCCCTGTCAGGGAAGGGGAACCTAAGCTGCCCTTGGCTTTGGGGAGGGCAGACACTGAGGACAGTGAACTCCTGCTAAGAGGGGAAGTGGTCACATCAACAGTAGCACAGTCCAGTTGGGGAGAAGAGTTCCCTTCCTTTCCTTATTCCTCCCTTCATTTCTTCTTAAAAACTCCTTTTTCTTTGATGTTTCTTCATCCCTCCTTCTTCCCCATCACAACCTTCGTTTTAAGTTCCATGCCAATCTGCTGTTGAGTGCCTTAAAGCAAAGGAAACTGAGGCTCAATGAGCCTTTTCAAGGACATCCTTTTTTTTTTAACCTCTAGAAATAAAAGTTTAGTACTTCCTGAGACAAGGTAATGTTTTTATGCTATTTAAACTACTTTTCAATGTCCCATCGCCTCTTAGATTAGCCAGTTTCCTGGCCCAGCTCCACAGACCTGAGTAGAGGTGAAGTGCCACCTCAGGGTCATCAACCAAGTGCAGAAGCTTTGCAGACAGGCCTGTTGGATGTGGGCAGCTGACAGTGGTTCTGCACAACTTATTTTTTTAAACGACATAAGAGTTCTTTGTGTGACAGTGCTTTAATCTCTCATCTCCATACATTGCCCAAATCTCAGAGTTGTTTCTGTTTCAGGCCCTGCTTGAATTTCTGCAAAAAGTCATAGATAATAAGGAGAAAAATAAAATGACAGTCATGAATGTAGCAATGGTCATGGCCCCAAATCTCTTCATGTGTCATGCCTTGGATCTGAAGTCCAGTGAGCAGCGGGAATTTGTAATGGCAGCTGGGACGGCAAATATCATGCACTTATTGATTAGATATCAGAAACTTCTGTGGACAGTAAGTATATGTTTTTAAACTGCATGAATGGCCATATAATTTTCTAGCATAATTGTTTATAGCAGATTTCAACATAATTTTATTACAGATATAAAAGAACATAATGTAATTTCTTAATGGCTTAAAAAACCACATTGCATTTTTTAAGTGTTAAAAGTTTTGTGCAATTACATTGAAAATATTAATGGCATCCTGGCACAGTGGCTCAAACCTGTAAGTCTAGCTACTCAGGAGGTGGAGGTCGGGGGAGTGGTTCAAGGTCAGACTGAGTAAAAGCTCTGTAAGACCCCATCTCAACCAATGGTTAGATGCCATCATACACAACTGCCATCCCAACCATGTGAGATATGGAAATGGTGGATCAGGGTTCAGGCTGGCCCCAAGCATAAAGCAATACCCTACCTAAAAAATAACCAATTCAAAGAAGGCTTGGAAGTGTGGCTCAAGTGGTAGAGTGCCTGCCTAGCAAGTACAAGGCCCTGAGTTCAAACCACACTCCCAACCCCCACCCCGTACTGCTAAAAAATTTAAACAGAGAAGAGAATATTAACAGCATTTTATTCATATAGGTAAGGAGAGTCTTGTGAGTTTCTACTTTAAAATCATAAAACGTGCCTTGTAAGAAGTACTTCTTACTTATCTGCTTCTTCCATTTTCCTTTTCTCAGTGCTGCTTTATAAAAGTTCCTGCTGTCTTTGCCTGAGCTCATTCACAGTGATTTTCCATAGACCTGTCATTTAGAGGGCTACATACATTTTGTCCACTGATTGCTGAGAAGGTCTTGGACACGGTTTCCTTTTTCATCCTTAGTTTGAGCTTATATTTTGACAAATAATCAGAAAATGGTGGTGGATAAGAGGTTTCACTGATTAAACTCTCATTTTCCATGAAATTTATAATTTTTGAGAGTGAAGCATTTTATAGGCATTTAGAAAAATGACCTGCAAAATTACACTGCGTTTTTTTTCTTTTTTTTCCCCCAGTGCTAGGGATTAGATGCCAGACCTTGTGAATTCTAGGCAAACACTCTACCTCTGAGCTATGCCCCCAGCACCAATCAAAATTCTAATATTAACTATTTCAACCTCCTATTTGAGGAATACCTAGACATTAATTTCTTAAAAAGACAGTGAAGGTATCTAGATCCTGTAGTCTTTTTATGCTCTCTATAAAGACAACTAATGTAGCTGATTTCAAATGTTTTTAAATGCCTAGTTATTAAATCTTGGTCTTTTAAATTCCCACTCTCTTTCTTGGTTGTATTTTGGTAACTTAACATGTTTTGTTGCTGTTATTGTGATTTCCAAGGACAGTTTTTTCCTGGAGTATTGTAACTGCTGGCTCTTGTGGATTGGTGAGGTTTTCTTTCTCCTCTGACAGTAGACGCCAGCTGGTATCAGAAGGGGACTGCTGTTTAGCTCTCTGGGCAGTAGAGAAGTGGCTGCTAAGGGTACAAACTGCCAAGGTGATGGCCTCACTGTGGGTCTCCTTAGGGACTCTCGTCATGATATCGTTGGTGTTGGAAGAGGCCACTAAGCTCTTGAAGTTCACAAAGCCTCTTTTGGAACCTTACACAATAGGAGGTGATGTAAGGACACTTTGTACACCTTCTAAATGAATAACTCAATGCATTTTTTTTCCACAGGAGCAATGAACAGCATATATAAAATGTCATGTTCTTATCAAATAGACAGAACCTTTATTCCTCTTGAAATTTAAGAAATAAAGATAATTATTTATGTAGTTCAAAATAGCTCCATGTCTTTTTCCTCCCCAACTAAATTTCTTTTCTCTATAGATTCCCAAGTTTATTATAAACCAAGTAAGGAAGCAAAACACTGAAAATCATAAAAAGGACAAAAGAGCCATGAAGAAATTGCTGAAGAAAATGGCTTACGACCGAGAAAAATATGAAAAGCAAGATAAGAGTACAAATGATGTAAGAGAATGTTGAAGATACACACTTCTTATCATTTCAGTGCTGTATTCATAGTATCACTTTCTACCACTTACTAGGCTTTCTACAACTTGTAAGTTAAAGGCATTGGTAACAATAACTGTACTTCTACTACGAATGACCCGGATTGATAGTTGGTCAGGTGGTGGTGACTCAGCATGTGGTTTGTTAATGGGGAACAAAGAAAGATAGCAAGACTGAAAATCTCTCTCTCTCTCTCTCACTCACTCACTCACTCATGACTCCTGCAGAGGTCATAGCTGCCCACTGACTGAATAATGTATAGAGAGTGAAAAATCCTCTCTGGATGAACCACTAATACTTTTTTCATCAAATGGGGACAAACAACTAACCCTGATACACAGGCTAATGATTATGTTGGGCCGAGAATCATCCCTAGACCTCAGCAAGTACTTGAAGGTTCTCAATTTGGTGGGAATAATTTTCAGAGTCACATTGTAAAGAAGAAAATTAATACGTTTCAAGAAGGAATTCTGTCAGTATTTATAAGCTACTGTTAGAACATATTAAGAACTGGTCTTACCATAATGAAATATGCATGGAAATATATTTATGACTTGAGTCACCAAAGCTCTAGCATAAGATCATGAAATGAAAGGGTTTCTATTGTTCTGTTTAAGTGAATACACCCTTACCACCACCACTGAGGTTCTCCAGTTACATGCTGACATCTTGTGGAAAAATGTGAAAATGCAGTTATCTGCCTTTGTCTGATTTTTCTGCTTTGGCCTGCTTAGAGAGCTTGTAATTAATTATATATATATATATATTTTTTTTTTTCTCTTACATTTATTTATATTTCACTTACATTTACTTTCCACTCTTAAGAAAATAACACTTTCTTGGTTTTGTACAAATGTTGAAATCAATATTAAGTGTCCTTAAAAGAATAAGAAAATATAATTAAGGGAAATTAATCAAATTTTTTTGAGAAAAGGCTTGATGTTATAAGGCTAGAAAGGATTCTCAAGATAACATTTTTATTTAACTCTGGAAAGCTATGTTATCTCTAACAGCATTGTAAATACAGAAATATCTTCATTTTTGTAGCCTGCTTATTCATATTGTTTAAGTGACCTCATAGTCTTAATTTTTTATAATACTGTGATACTCTAAGCTCAGCACATACTTAAGGAAACATTTGTGGTATGCCTTTTTAATAATAAATCCATAACACAAATTAAAAGGTTAGTTTCTGGAGATGGAATGTTTAAGTATTGTTGCCATTTTCAGAAAAATAGCATTGCGTTGGAATTTTTTAGTTTGCATTTTGAGCAAACTAGACATGAGCTGAGCTGAAAATTTTTTCTGCACCATTTAAAAGCTGTATTGTCATTTTAGAGTCTGAAATTTAAAACTCAGTTTTTTTTTTCCTTTATTGGCTGTAACTTTACCTCCCTGAGTTTTGGGTTTTGGTGAAATTCAGTTAAATCATTTAACAAAAATGCTACTGTTTCCAGGATGCCAACCCCCCACTACATGGTAGGTGTTCAAAGGGAGCCAGAGTTAGCTTCTCACTTCATATAGGGAGGATTTATCTCAGAGGTGACAGAGACTGAAGCCCAATTAGGGTTCTGTGGGCTAGGACACAGGAAGTGGGCACCTGAGAAACTTCCTGGGGGTGTCAATCTGAGAAGGGGAAGCAAGTAGGTGTCATTTAGGCATCACTAGAAGCAAGAGAGCTAACCTTTAGTGGAGATTCCTGGTGTAACATGCTACAGTGGAAGTCCATTTAGCCTATCATTTTAGTTGAAAAATTTTAGTGCATTTCCAGAACTTATTTTTCAAGTGGTTGTCTTTCTCTTAGAGGGACTAGTATGTGCAGAGAAAAGTTATGAACAACACACAAATGGGCTCTGTAGGTCCAACTGCTGTGGATATGTGGTGAGTTACTAAGTAGTCAGGGTTTTTGCAACAGCTTCCATCAGTTGCCAGAATCAAAAGACTAAAAGAGTGAATATAAACAGTTGTCCTGTTATGATGAATTGTAGAACGGGGTATCCCATGTCCCCTGACAATAGAGCCTGCTTTCAGCAGGGTAGCAATTGCCCTGGGTCCCTTTGAATGGGACAGGAGCCTCCCCCTCCTTCCTTATGCTTTGTCGATTCTCCTCTCAAATCATTTGAACATATATATTAGACTTCACAAAACTATAGGGCACAATGCTGCCTGGGATATTTTGTTCATTTGTTAAGCAGTTACTTGATATGTGCCTACCGTGTACCAGCTAGTGTTCGTAGGCACTTGAAATACATTGTTGAACAAAGTAAGGATTAGTATACCTATGGAACTTAAATTCTATAAGTAAGAATAAATATAATTACTTAGTGTGTATGTGGTGGATGCTCTAAATATAATAAAAACAGAGCAGAAAAAAGGAGGACTTGGAAAAGTTTCTCTTGCAATTGCAAAAGCCTAAGGCAGGAACTTGCCTGGGGTATTTGAGCACTAGCAAGGCTTAGTGAATGTGACTGGAGTGAAGGCAGCAAGCAGTACTGTAGGATGAAATGAGGTCAGAAGGGCAATTGGGCCAAATCAAATAAGGCCTTGAAGACCATCTGTAGGAATTTGGCTTTATCTTGAGTGAAATGGGGTCACTGTAAGGTTTTGAGAAAAGGCATGAAAATCTATGGCATTTTTAAAAATAATCCCTTGATATTTTGTTTTAAGAATACACTATAGGGGTGCTAAGATAGAAATAAAGAAACTATTTAGGCGGTTCTTATAATGAAGGTGAGAGAGAATGGTGGCTCAGACTCGGGTATCAGCACTGGAAGTGGAGAAGTAGTTGCATTCTGGATATTTATTTGCAGTGATAGTCATTGAGATTTCTTGTTGGAAATGAGTTGTAAGAGAAAGAAAGATGTAAAAAAATGACTCGAAGTTTTGGTCTGAAAAATTGGGAAGATGGAATTGATAAGTCACAATGTCAATTTGGGACCTATAGAGTGAAGTGACAGACATCTCTTAGAAATCTAAGTGGGAATATTTGAAAGTTTACAGAGGAAAAATCAGGTCGTACTGACCAGCCAGAGAGACAGGGCCAGTGGGAAAGCACGAATGGGGCTCAAGGGAGAGGGAAGCTTCTGTACAGGTCAGGGAACTTCTGGAAGGTTGTGACCACAGGAGTTATGGTCATATTTGCATTTTAGGACACTGTGATGGTAGGTGAAGAGAAGATTAGAGGAATGCAAGTTGGCTTTGTAGGAGATGCTGGCTCTTGTTTCTGATGAGAGTATATAAATTGGTAGACTGTATTCAGAGAACACTCATTGTCATGTGACAGAGACCTGAAAACTGCTCCTCATTGGACTTTTTTGTTGCTATTTTCTCTACACTAGCCAGCGTTAGAAATAATACAAAAGGATAGACTAGTTAAATATGCCAAGACATGTAGTGAAATGTAAAAATGTACATGTATCTAAACACATATTTATATGTTGCTACATAACAAAAGAAGTTATAAAGCGGTGAACAGTATATCACTATATTTGTGAGGGATAATAACTATGTTTTTAAATGCTTACTAGAGGTCAAGCATATACTAAACATTTTAGAAACATTGTCATTTAATATTCATAGTAGTCTAGTTGGAGTGTATTGTCTTATCAGCAATTGGGGATCAGCAATTGTAAGGTTCTCGAGAGAGGAAATGGTGAAGCTGGAGTTCAAAATCAACCCTATGACTTTAAATCCATAGTTTCTTTACCATTATCCTCTATTTTTCCATAGATTATAGAAAAATTCTATGAAGGATATATAGCAAAACCCTGAGTACATTGTGTTGGCAATAATAGTAAACATGGATTACTAGTATTACAAAATATTTAAAGAGTTGAGATTGGGAAGAAGTTTAGAATGAGCCAGTAGGACCCAAAAGGGTGGATACTGGTTGGATGTAAGGAGTATGGAAGGAGGAATATAGAATGATTCATCGAATTTTGCATGGACAACATTAACATCAAGATAAAGCATTAAGCAAAACGAATAGACTTAAAATATAAATCAGTTTTTGACATCTTGGGTTGACATTACCTGTGTGAGAGTTGTTTACATAGATGAGAGGTCCATGGAGCACCCAGGGGTGGAGGTATACTTTTAGGATGAGCATAGAGTCTACTGTTGGGACTGCAGAGTACAAGGTATTACTCAAAGTGGTTCTATGGAGCAAGAAAACAAAAAGGCAAAGACACATCTCTGGGGGACACCAATATTTAAGTAATAGAAAAGCCTGTAAAAGAGGCTAATATTCAGAAGTAAGAGAAGGTTGAAGAATGTGTCCTGTCTTGGAAACCCAGGCCGGAAAAGTAAAGTCCACACTGAGTTAGCAGCACCAAATACTGCACAGAGCAAAGATTTATATTGAATAAAGACCCACAGACTTTTGCACTTGAAGTTCAGTTATGACCATCTCCAGAGCATTGCCAGTGACTATTGATGGGAGGAGCCAGATTGCCAGGGATTAGAAAGAGAAAGACAGAGATCGTAGGTCATGAAAATGCAGCAGGGTAATATTTTAAAAAGTACTTTGTATGCTAACTATACACAATCGGGCATTCAAGTTATTAAGAAATGGTTGACTAGGTAAATTAATAGTTTGAGCCAGGTTGTAATACACATTCAATTTACCTAATAAGACAAATGTTTTTAATGACTACAGCATATTAATTATATGGTACAAATAGGGATGTTCTTAAATACTAATAAGTCTTATCTATTAATTATAGCATGAGGAAACAATTGGGGAAAAACAACAAAATTGTACACCATTAAAAATAACTATTTCACATTAGCTTCTAACTTGTTGTGTTGATATCATACACATACACAATAGAAGTCATAAGGCTTGAGGATACAGCTGTAGCACTGCCATTAGTAAGTGTGACAAGTCATTTTATCTTTGTGGACATTAGTTTCTTTTATAAAATGATGATATACAAACAATAGAATATGAACCCTAGCATCATCAATAGTCAAATACATTTTTCTGATTTACTTCCATCCTTTTTCCCACATCTTGTTCTTCCTTTTAGTATTTGTTAGGAAATCGGACATCCCATCATTGCCTGAGATCTCATCTGTCTAACAAGGATGTAGAAGGTGCTTTGGTGACAATTTAGTTATGAATTGCTGAATCCTGCAGGCTCAAAAAGTAAAGTCTGTACTTTGATTTGCGTGATCCGAGTGTCACACACTTAACTCACAGTGGAGGAACTCAAGGTTTAGAGACTTAACATGACTGGTTTAGGCTTTAGACAAGAACTGCGTTGCGTCAGCAGAGGATCCTGGAGTTGGCTGAGTAGAGCTGGGTAGACTCTGGGTGGTTTGTATGCCTGAAATCATAGCTCCATTCAGAATTCCAGGTCTGGTTTCATTTAGCAGCTCTCACTACAAAGCACTGTCACAGGTATTGTTTCAAGCATCTGCTTTAGGTCTGGAAACAGTCTCTGGATTAACTTGGAGACCCAAGTGGAAAATCAAATTATAATATCAAGCACAATATCTTGTTTCTTTTTATGACACTCTCTGATTTTTTAATAGTGCTTAAAAATATCATATTAAAAATCTCAGAACTTATTTCATTGGAAGTTAAATGCTTATTAACTATGGGAAGTATTTAAGGCACATCTTTAAAATTCTCTGCATCCATGAGTTGGATAGAAGTTTAAAACATTTGGATAACAAAGACCCAATTATAACCAGAACACTGGCAGTTCAAAATAGTAGAGGATATCTTCTATATTGCTGCCTCTCAGTATTGTCAATTCAGACTAGGGATAGAATATGCCATTCTAGTTTAAGATACCTTGCTAAAATGTCCTTGTTTAATTTCTAAGATATGTATTATAACTGAGCTTCTTTTTGAGAAAGCTTTATTTCCAATTTGCTCTTTTGGAGATAAGTGTTTTCAGTAGCGTTAAAAATGTCAGTTTTACATTTAAATGAGCTTTTAATGAAAAAAATTAATTTCATTTCTAAAGGTCTTAACACTAAATTTTTAGAGTATAAAAATATGAGGAATACAGTATTTATACCTTATGAAAAGTACAAAAAAAAAACAATTTAGCCAAGGAAGAAATAAAATCAGATTTAAAAAATAATCCATAGTTCAATATGTAAAAACATATAAGAATCATGAGTTCATTGTCTCTAGTACAATAGTCTGTGCCCGCATAAGAATTAACATTTTTTTTAAGTTTTGGAATTTGTGGTGACTAAATGTCAATGGAGCATTAATCACATTCTCTTCTCCAGTCCTGCTGTTTATCACCTATATTCAGTTCACAGGCACATCCTTCACTCCCCCTTCTCCCAAAAAGTAGAGGACAGTATCATAGCTGTTAGACTAGAAAATGTGAAATATGAAGTTTTACAAAGGTTATACTGTGTGTAGCTTCAGCGTTTATGGCTTAAGTTAAGAACAGACTGTTTGGCTGAATGATCAGGCATGTTGTGTCTTCTCAAAGCTTGACAGCTCAAAGTAATTAGTATACTAATAGCATTTGTATTTGATGCAGCATGATTCTAGAGTTTAATGTGGTTGTCATCCCCCATTTAAATGAGAGCTTTGGCATCCTTTATTGTTTACCATTTTTGTGTAAATAGCGTTTGGCCTCCATTGTCAATGTATCAACAAAAACTTTCCAGAAACAACTTTTAAGCTATCTCTACCATTACATCTACTGTCTAAACTAATTTCTTCTCCAAAGGTGTAAAGATATGGTAGATTCATGTTGAGTCAGACTCTCAGTCTCTGTAATGTTGGGAGAATTTGGATGGGATACACTAAACAAGCTGAGACTTGCTTCTGTTTAGCTATAAACCGTAGAGCCTCATACCATTTGACTAATTGCTCTTGTTATCAGGGAATGTCAACAGTCAACCTGGGAAAGTACATGTGCCATTGACGGCCTAATGAAAGGCTTTTCAAAGACATCAATATACCCAACCTGTGTGAAATGAGTCAACATTTCTTCAGTGCATAGTTTAGGCAGGGTTAATACTGAGCTTAAGTTGGCCTATGGTAGCATAGTGAGGTCTTCTTGTCTTCTTGAGATCCCTCAAAAGCAAAGACAGGTTACTCCTTTAAATAAGTGTCTGCTAGTGTTGGGAACACTGGCTTTTCCCCTCAGATCCTCCTGTAGGAGGAAATGACTAAAATACCTCTTGTAGCTTCTTCAATTCCTTTTTTACATTCTTTTCTCCCTTCTGTCTTTTCTTGTTTTTAGGAGAAATAACAAATGATAGAGATAATTTAATTTATTTCTTTTTGGCAGTTTACCTAAGATTATTTTTTTTAAATAATAAGGAAATAGGTTTATATATTTTCTTTTACTCTAGAGAATGCTTACTATCATTAATCCATCATTTTAGTGAAAAATATTGAGTGATTCACTTAATCAATGAACATTGATGGGTGGCTACCAATATGACTCAGATTTAGCTAGAACATAGATACCATATTTTAGGATCCTCATTATAAAGGAGATCAAGTGAAAAATTCCATGAAAGAGAAAGTTCCATGGAGTTTGAGGTGTTTCTGCTGGGCCTTGAAATATGGATAGTTAAGAGACACCCCAAAGAGAAGTAAGCATACACAGAGAGAATAGGGTGGATGTTTGTAGAGAATTTTGACCAGCTTTCTTAAGTAAACAATAGAATATGCTACAAGGAATAGTAGACAGACATGGAAGGAACAGACTAAAGTTACCATCTCTCTGAGCTCTCTATGGTAGTATATTATTTTTCTAGCTCATTTTGGTTTTATTACACGTTTATTATGGACCTTCTGTTTATAAAACTTTAAATCTTATTACCATAGTTTTGGGATTTGGCTGCCTTTTTTTTTTTTTTTGCTATTATCAGCATAAAGGTTATTGTTATCTATAAACCCTAACCTGCCATTCAGATTTATATGCAATATTACAGTAATAGAGCGGGTTATTTCAAAATGCCAGTATTTGATGTCTCTACTGAGTAGATGAGGTGAATGGGTATGCTAAGAACAGTGTTGCTAGTAACATTTTCACTCTGACTCTAAAGTTGTCAGTAGTAGCTTATCGTTTTCCACTTCCTATGAAGGAAACAGACAGTTGAGGCCAAGTCAGCAGATAGAATGGCCACAGTAGGCCATAAGCTAGAGATCAACCACAAGGGAGAAGTACATGTAGTCCCTGAGTTATGTTATACCATTAATAACTGCTCCAAAAGGAAAGATAATAGCACTGCCACAGGAAATGCCCCATCCACTGGAAGAAGCAGCTCATTTTCCAATATGTTACAGATGGCAGTAGTTTGTCACAGAATGGGGGAGAAAGGTAAATTAGGTTTTAATCCTAGGGGTAAGGCCAGAGGAGAATAAGGTAATTAGACCAACTTATAATGACCCAGAAAGTAGAAGTCAAAGAACCGAAAATATGGTCCAGGCTGGAGTGAGAGGTAAAGTGGGAGTGAGGGGGATAGGGCCCATGTTCCCTCAGCATTCCTCAGCAATGTGTCTTCTCTTTCCTTTGTTATTCCGATGAAATTTCTCCCAATACGAGAAGCAAGTTTAAATCTTTTGGGTGCTCCTATAATTTTGTATTGCCCAATTCTAAAGGCAAAATATTTTTGTTGGACTTAGAAATTAAATTAATGGTATCTGTGACCTGTTTGTGATTTATATTTAAGAACAAAAATAATTTAAGACCACTTCCATTTAAAAATTGATATTGTGGGCATAAAAATAGTGCATGATAAAAGACTTGTGACTTATTTATTTCTAGGTAAGTAGACCTAGCCCAGTATTTGGTACTCAGTACATGCTGGTAAATTTCAGTTGAATTAAATGGGGTATTTATAATATTTAAAGGATTATCTTTAAACATAATTTGTGCATGCTGTTCTAAAGTCTGTTTAAGACATATGGTTATAAATAATAAATTAGTATTTATTTTAGCAGAACCATTTAGGAATTAATTAAGCCTATTATTTCAGATGCAGTAGCTGACATTTTGATATTACAAGCCTCAATTTTTCATTGCTATTTCCAAATTAATAAAATGTACTTTGTGTCCATGGGCAAAGGACTTAGAAGTGGTCATCTTGAGTTCAAAGTGTATAGTCAAAAATATAAGCTTATTAACCAAGTGGGCAGTAGCTACAAAACAAACATATTAAAAAAGTAAAGTAAGTTTCTTTGACACTCAGGGACAGAAAATTTGGAGAAAGTTTTGTGGTATGTGCAGGAAGATTTTTCAGTAGCAATTGCACAGAGTGACTTCTTTCTGATTCGATTTCATAAATTGCTACATGAAGAAGCCCCTCTAGTAGATAATACTCCGAAATCAGTACTTAATATGGCAGTAATGGTTATTGCTGTCATTCTTTACATCTTTAAAAATAATTAAGCATTACTGCACAGGCATTATAAAGTTCCCCTATCACCATTAAGAGGATATTTGAGGTTTGATGTAATTTAGCAAATTGCCTTATACAGTAGTTAAGGTTTTTATGCAGTGAAGTAAAATGCGTCGTAGTTAAGCACACTTACCATATAATGCATTGTACAGAGTTACGGGTTCCAGCTGCTGCCAGCTTTGTTCCAGTGTCATTATTGCTTTGCAGGCTGACGTTCCTCAGGGAGTGATTCGAGTGCAAGCTCCTCATCTTTCGAAAGTTTCCATGGCAATACAGCTAACTGAAGAACTAAAAGCCAGTGATGTACTTGCCAGGTTTCTCAGCCAAGAAAGGTAGAGTCCTGTTTTGTTTTAATTATTCTGTGGGATAACTCACTTGCTCTCCCCCTCTCCCTGCCTTTTTTTTTTTTTAAAAAACAAAACTAAGGAATGGTGTGAAGTGCTTAAAATTTTTGTCTTCCCAGCAGAAGAAGACCAGTCCTGACAATTAGACTGTTGGAATGCATGAGTATAGTCTGCTGAGGTAGTTGGGTGTTCTTGAATTTGTTTCAAGCAGGATGGCTGAGTATCCTTCACTGGGCCTATAATCAGCTTGGCAAATAAAACCACTCCATAGTCTTCCAGGACATGTTGATTGGAGGTTAATTACTGTTTGTAGGCTGTTAGGAAAATTACTAATTAGGATACAGTGAGATTAAAATGAAGACAACTTTTTCTGTGAAATGTAAGTAATTAAAAAGAAATGTTGCAATTAAAAGCAGAAAGCATGAAGACTGAGAGTGGGCAACCAGTCCCTGTATCTCTGGAATCACAGGGAGAGCACAAACTATTCTCCATAGGGACAACTGAGCCCTTCTCTGGTTTGAGGCTGATGCTCTAGAGTCTTTCAAAGGTCATTGGCCTCCCTCTCACTGCACTAGTGTTTGTGCTTTCTGAATCATCTTTTCTTGAATTTTTAGAGGTACTAATAAGTGATTGGGTTTTCCAGTTTTTTACTCTTCAAATTCTTATTTTTGTCTAAAATTATGTTTTAATGCCCCCTCCCCATTTATACTTACTGAAATAAACTAAATTTTTAGTTTAGAAGGGGAAGCTGAGGCATTGGCACCCAGTTTTTGACTACCTGATTTTGGTCCTTCATTTAATTTAATCTCTTCATTCTAACATTGGAGGGGCTTCAGTCATGTTTCTGCCAAAGCCGTTCCAGTTTTAATACAGTACCTCAAATAGTTTGTGCATTTCTGTTCTGTTTAAACCCTCTGCTAGGTGCTGGAAGGGATATAAAAGTTATTTTAAAGTACTGTCTATAAATCAAGAGAAGGAATGAATCTGTACAGCTCACAGATGGTGGTGAAATAGGAAAGGCTTACTGGCCATACCTTGAATTTCAGCAAGCCAGAGTAAACTTCACAGTAACATCTGAAGTAAACATCATTATTCCTTCTGTTTTCCAGGAAATATATTTCTTATAGGTAGTAGAACTGGAATTCTGAACCTATTGTTTTTGTCCTCAAAGACAGTCCCTTAACCACTCTCCACACTGACTAGAAGGCCTGGGAGTAGAAATTATGTTCTAAGGCAGTTGAGTCTTTCAGGATTGAGGCCTGGCAGAAGTTGGCATTTCTAATCTTTGCTCATTAAAGGGTGTCTGAGCTGCCATGAAATCTGTCCACTCCCTCTGTTCCCTGCCTTGACTTTGCCTTTCTTCCCTGAAAGGATATCCCCTCTCAGAATGTCTGGCTAACTTCAGACATGAGTAGCTTTTCCAGGCTACACATAGTTAATTTACACAGCATTTAGTTCCAGGATTCAATTCTGCTCCTATTTTCCTCTCTACAGGCTGACAATATTAGATATGACTATGAAGTTGTACAATATATTCAACCGTGAGTTTAATATGTAAGGTATAGCATGAAACATTAGTTGATATTTTGTTACAGAAAGCACTAGCTTTGTGATAGTTGCCCTTTGTATATGTGGATTTTCTGCTTATGGTGGTCTTATTAAATAAGTATTCCTCCAGGGGAAAGGCTGGTAACCTTTTCTTTCCATTGTCTTCTCCTCCTCCCAATCCTCAGGCCCTTTCCTTATGCTTGGAGATGCTAGAGACATCTGAATTCATTGATAGTTTTTATAATCTCTTTACATCTCAATTCTTCCTTTGTAAGAGTGAACTATAATATGGCCTACCTTACAGTTCTGTGATAATTAACTAGAAAAATGATCATGAAGTTCATAGCAATGTCTGTCTGGGCCAACACAGTAAGTGAAGTCAGTCCTCAACAAATGTTTACCTATATGTTTTTCTTCACAACGTTCCATATGCATTCTACCTGTTGGGGTGGTTGGAAACCTTACTTCCTTTCATCCTTGTTCTCTCCTACCTTTTCTACTGAAGCCAGTGAACAAGAAATGTACAATAATTTACATATTCATTCACCAGTCTTTGATTGTTAATACTTTTTCATTAATTATGAATTTACTGATGTTATATGGGAACTAGCATATGCCAGAAAATTCAATTCAGGTTTATGTAAAGTAGAACAAGAATACAGATACCTGAGAATCAATGAGAGTAAAATCTGACTAGGTTTTTTTAAAAAAAATTAATATTTTATAACATTCAATTTGACTGTTCATAGCAACAATAACTTTTCATACTCAGTTTATGGGATTTTGTAGTATAAGTAAAAATAATTATTAACTAACCCAATTCCTGCTAAAAAAGAAAAATAATTATTAACTTACTCATCTTAAAAATAAATGTACCCTTGGTTAGAAACAAAGTGTGGCTATTAGGTAGGATACAACACGTCAGGTGGAACTTAAAGCAGAAGGCGTACACAGCCCTGTGGCTATTAGGTAGGATACAACACGTCAGGTGGAACTTAAAGCAGAAGGCGTACACAGCCCTGACCGTCTAATTGTGTGATGAACATAGGTGGGAGGAGAAAATTGAATAGTCAGATGAACCATTAAATGGCTGGTTAGGAAAGCGTCTTCTGTGCCATAGTTTTCCTAATGGCTTGAGTATAAATCAAACCTGGCTATTTCTTCTCAGTTCCACAGGGCCTTTCACCAGCAGTCCATAAGCCTTTCCATGTGTCACAGTCTACTACAGAGCATTTTCAAAGCAGCTTCTTGAACATTATCCTAGAACTGTTAGTTTCTTGAGATCTGAATTTTTAACAGATTTTGGAAGTAATTGTTTTATAGAAAGTTTTGACAAATCACTGAATTTTTGCCAGTTTTTATGTGTGAGCTTAATGTTGTAAAGGATTTTATTCCTGTTTACCAATGACTTGTATTTACAAAATGTTTTAACCAGTATATAAAACAAAACTTGCCCAATATGGTGAGATACTTCAATACATATACACAACATGTAATGTCCAGGTCAAGGCAAACCATTTTTCTCTCCTCACACATTTGCTACTTCTTCATGGTAGCAAGTTTGTTCTTTGAAGGGTGTAAATGCAGCCTTCTTGGTAAAGTCAAGTCTTCATGATGACTCTTTGCTGCTACACTGTCGGAGTGTATGTGCCTCCCACATTTGAACCACCAATACAGAGAGGACTATGAATCGTATCTTAATTCTTCACATTCATCTTGACACTATTCCAGTTGTCAGCACAGCAGCCCCATGATAAATACTCACTGAATAAAATGCAACGACAAAGCTGAAATGGAAATTCGACCCTTATGCAGAGCAGATCATCATATTAATAATTTAATTGGCAGGTAAAATGCTATGTTAGCTTTCTAATTTTACAAATTTAGACACTGGCTTACTATTTTGCCTTCAGATGTATGATTACATATTTATTTTAATTTACAGGTGTGACATTTTTATTACCTATTCAGCATATTTAACAGATGGGAATTATGAATGTGTAGGTAATTACAGTGTCTAAGCTATGGAGTCTCTACACTAGCTAGAATGCAAAACTTGTTGAAGTGATTTACTTGCAAGCTGTTTGATGATGCAATTAATGAGTTTGTTTTGTCCCTAATAGTGGGGTGGCCCAGACTCTCAAGAGAGGGGAAGTTTTTTTGTATGAAATCGGGGGAAATATTGGTAAGCCCATTTTTTTTCTCTTTGCCTTCTATATGCTGATTTGACATTGCCAGTGGTTGTTAATTATGTCTTTGGAAGAAAAAAAGAAAGTTGGAAATAAAAGAACACATGCTTTAGGTGGTTGCTTATTATGGATTCGCTTAGTGGTCTGACCTTCTTTCCAGGCTCTATTCAAGCTGCTTCTGTATAAAAACTTCCATCTACTTTCAATTGCAGCGAAGCCAAGTCCCCTAGAATAGTAATAACTTCTAGAATGGCCAATGATGCAGGTGTTTCAGAACTGCTTTCTTTTATATACTCTTATATCACAAAATAGTTGGTCTGAAGATCAAGATAACACTTATTGATAGAGTATTTAGATATTTTTATTAAAAATAATTGCTTTTGTTATAGTTGGTTTTCTACTGTAGTTCTTATACATACATATTAGTATTTCAGGAAATAGGATAAATGAATTAAGTTTTGACATGTTCTGTATTTTATCTTATTTCTTTTATTTATTTATTGATTGATTGATGGGACTGGTGCTTGAACTCAGGGTCTCACACTTGCTAGGCAGGTGCTCTTACTGCTTGAGCCACTCCACCAGCCCTATCTTATTTCTTTTAAAAAATTTTAAGTATACCTTTTTCTTGACTCTTGAAAATGGCAAGGGTGACATTGTTAAGGAATGAATGAAATAATGTTTAATTCAAAGTAGTAATTGAAAATAATTTGAAGAAGTTTTATAGAATTCTTAATATTTAAAGTGAAATACAGGAAATGTGAGGGGTCATTCTTAAACTTCAAATAAACTACTGTTATTAAATAACTATTAAATAATATGGTTATTTAATAGAGTTATTAAATTAACTCTATTAAAAACCTGAAGTTATTAAATTTATTAGTAAAGATTATTTAAGTCTTAATACATTTGTTTTTTCATTTTGTTATTAGATCTTAGGAATTAAGCATGATTTCTTAGGTGAATTCAAAACTGTTGTCATGCTCAGTGAATAAAAATTTAAAAGCCCACAGAACAAAGTATTTTCAACTTTCTAATTTAATTTGAAACATATTTATTTGGAGACTACCAAAATGACTTTTCCAATCATTTGACCAAGTCTTCAAGGGTTTTAATGAGAAGTATTTTGAAATCTAAGACTTTAGAGTTTAAGCTATTGGCCTTAGGCTTAAAATTGTATCCCCATCTGCATACTGTGATAAACGGACACCCCATCTCTTTAACAGGGGAACGCTGCCTTGATGATGACACTTACATGAAGGACTTATATCAACTCAACCCAAATGCTGAGTGGGTCATAAAGTCAAAGCCATTATAGAAGCATAAAGCTGCAGCTAGCCCTGGGGACTTCTATAATAATTCTTGCTGGGTCAAGAGTATAAATAAAAGAAGTGGCAGGACTCTTGTCACTCAACTGTACATAACTACTAAGAAGTAACATCCTGGAGCCTCAAAAACTTGGTAGACTTACACAGTTGCCAGAATTATGTTAATTATCATTATTAGAAAACAAATACTTTTGAGGAGAGAAAAAGGGGGCTTAATTAGCTTTGTGGCTGTTTTTGTATACTGTGTGAAACTTATCCAGATGTGACAGGTTTTTTTTTTAGTATGAAAATATATATTCTTTACCACTCACTTTTTTCATCTGAAATCTTATATTCTGTAACATGTATTTTCTTACCTCCTCAAATTTGCCTTCCTTCAATAAGGTTTGTTTTTAACCAAAAAATGATAATAAATATCAGGTATGGCAAGTTATGAAGACAGAACATATTGGAACAGACTTAATTCAATAGTATTCTTGTCCTTATAGAGTGATGGTATTCATGTCCTTGAATCATTTGTCCAAATAAGTCCATCCTTTTGTATCACGTGTGATTCACGTGTTTTTCACTTCATCTGATGTGTGTGCATAGAACTGTATCCATGATCAAGAAAACCAAACTGTCAGAAACTGCCGTTGATTACCAAACTGTTAAATACTTACTAAGAATAAAAAATATATGTATCCATGTGGAATAACTCAATTACCAATTATCAGCAAGTAAAGGCCAAATCACTTTGTGTATGCTGTACTCTTCCAAGTGGAACTCTAAAAGTCATAGCTGACTCTATCTGTTGTTCTATTACTCTTATAAACATGCATAGCAGTGTATGATCTGGTAGCCATTGGAGAATGTATTAAAGGGGGATTTTTTTTCTCCTGACTGGAAGAGTTATACTTGTGAGTATGACACAATCATGTGAACAAGGTTTTGTTTGTGTACTTATTTTAAATCAATAAATTCATTAAAATGTTGTGGAAAGTACTAGTTGCAGGGATTTTAAAGCCCAGACCACATTGTGACAAAAGATGAGCCTCTGTACTGTAAATAAGAGAAATGAATAGAGAACGTTAAATATTTTATGAGGTTCAAGTACAGTAAATAAAAGGTAATGTAAATGAATGCTATGCCAACTGCGTTTGGCACTTTTAGTAGTACTTTAGGAAAAATTACATTCTCAGAAGCTCTTCGTGTCACTCTAATTAGGAGGGGAAATGCTGTTAATGAGAATAGTCATAAATTCTTAGCATATAATTACAAGAGCAGCCTGTGGATATGATCATTTAAATAACTGTGATAATTTGTGCCATTGTCTTTTTATTTAAAGAATTTTATAATTAAATGTCTTTCTAAATTATTTTCTCTTGGAATTGTTACTTTTAATCCTGTGTGTTCATGAGCCTACTTTTACCTTTTCAAAATTAATATATGGTCTATTTTTATTGTTATTCATTCATACCTATTCTTTTATTGCTTCTATGGTCTTGTGTAATTTTTCAACTTGGAAGATATGAGAGATACAACCTTATTTCCTTTCTCAACTTTCTCCTTATGTAAGGTTCTATTATTTAGGACTTTTAAAACGTATCTGGGCTGGAGATATAGCTGAAGCTAAGCAAGCATTGAGCTCTGAGTTCACACCCCAGTAATGCCAAAAAGGTAAAAAAAAAAAAACTATCTCTTTCTGATTTTGACAATATGTATTATTAATGCTTTGATGAAAACAATTAACAATGTAAAAGAAAAATTATGTACTTAAAACACGTAGGGGAACAACTTAGGAAATATGAGTCTACATGATTTAAAAAAATGATTTTCTAAAAGCATGTGCCAACTAATTCCACCACATTTGTTATCTAACCATGAAACAGTTACTACATTTTGGTAAAGAAAAATGGAAATGCCATTTTTTAGGTTTTAGACTTTCCCAAAACCTATGACCCTCGTTCTTTGGTATTGGCCAATATTGCATTTAAATAACCAAAAAAAAAAATTATCTATACTAAAACAGAGAAGAAATTGAATATTAAAATGTCTCTATATAAATGTCCTGTTACTAACCTAAATGATTGCACTGTGATTTTTATTTCTTTCTAATAAGTTTTAAATCTCAGGGTGGATCTGTTTGTTCTGCGTGTGTGATGGAAAATAAAAACAAATATATTTGCTTTGAGTCTCAAACATTTTCTCTTTTATGGATGGGAGTTGCTGGGATTTATGAAGTCTGGTTAACCCTGCTCTGGTTTGATGACACTCCTCTTTTCTAAAGTCATTGTAATTCTTTGCATTCACACAGTCTTTGCCTAATGTGCTTATAGAAATCAACGTAAATTTATTGCTTATTGTTTCTATGAAAAGCAGTTCGTCTTACTGACTTCCTGGGCTTTTTTTTTTTTTTCCTAGTTTTTGTTAAACTGGTTGGCACTGATTGTCCTCATTTATCACCTACTCATCAGTAGGTGGCAGTATTGGTCAGGGATTCCTTTGAATCTAAAATACTGGAAGTCTTAAAAATGAACCTGAGTTCATAGGGAAGTAGCTGACACTCAGTGGCAGGCAGTTAGGTATTGACATTGTGGGTCTTATTTTTAATTACCCATTCTAAAATTGTAAGTAATTGATGTCAATTTCTATGTTCGGTTTGCTTTATCCTTGACTCATTGATTTGAAGAAGGGAAAAAAGATTTACCTGACCCAGAGTTAGAATTTTTGGTAACATCTAATTCAAACAAAAGGATTATGACAAGAATCAAGGCCAAGAACCAGGAAAGTAAGAGAAGAAAGATCTAAAATAGCGCTTCCATGACTTCTCTTTATTTCAATGTGCATGTTTCTTCAGCCTACAAACATTTTTTTGAACGCCTACATATACATGAGGCATGTTCTATCCTTGAGATACATCAATGGACAAAACAATAAAGCCTTGGTCTTATTTAGTAGAGGGAGACATTTAATGAATTAAGTGAAAGTAATAAGTAAATAAAATTAGAATATGTTAATGGTGGTAAGTGCAATGGAGACAAAAAAGACTAGCAGGGTGACTGGGATGAGGGATGGAGGGATAGGCTCAGTACAGTGTTAAATGCGTGGTCTTGCTGAAGAACTAACCCCTAAGTAAACACTTAGAGGAAGTGATAAACTTGCCATTTGGATATTTGGAAGAAGGACATTCCAGACAACGGGGACATTTAAGACTGAGGTCTAAGGTAAGAATGTGCCTCACTTGTCAAGAATACCAGTTGTGGCTGGAGTGGACTCAAGGCCAATGAAAGCAGTAAGTCAGAGAGAAATGCCAAGGTGGAAGTTGAGATCATGAAGGCCTTGAGTTAGTGGATAATTTATTCAAATTGGGGTAGTTGGTAAAATGGCACTTGGTGAGGGCTGTAACTGTGAAACGAGAAGTGACCACATAATGAAGATAGACCCTATAGGGCATCTGGTATGAGACAAAGAGAATACATTGTTAAGATTGTTTACTTGAGCATTTTTTTCCTGTGGTACTGGGATTTGAACTCAGGGCCTCACGCTCACTAGGCAGGTGCTGTACTTCTTGAGCCACTCTGCCAACTCTTCCTTGCACAGTTGAAAGGATGGCGTTTCCAACAACAGAAATAAGGAAGGTGGAGGTTAATTAGGTGTTTTGAGGGGAAAGATTCATGACTTTAGTCTTGAATGCAGTAAATTTGAGGTGCAGCAGCATACTTGTCTGATAACAAGCGTTCAATAAATTAATATTTATTAATGGTTACTCTGATCAATGTTATCAACAGGACATTAAGAATTATCTCAAAATATTATTCTAGTGCTATAGTCTATGTTTTTACCCTCGACATAGAGAAAAGATGTAACCAACCTATCCAGTAGCAGATTACACTAAACAGATAAGAGGGAAAAGGGCAGCGACTATATTAAAACGGTGAGCCCCTCCCAGCTCCTGTGGACATTCCTTTCTCCAAGTTAGGAATCATCACTCTTATACGTCAGGACTGTCCTTTATCTCACTGGGGTTGTTGGTTCCAAGGTCACACTATTTCACCTGGAAGTCTAGGGCAGCCCCCTTTCCTTGGCATTGAAATGAGGACAGAAGTAGTTTCAGAACACTTTTAACTTCAAATGAACTCAGATGGCCACTGAAGATCAACTGCTTCATGTAAAGACTGGCGGAAGGGGCAGAGTTCACTCCCTGCATCTGAGACCAGGAAGCCCATAGGAAACAACCATTTTTATCATATACTTGATCACTTGTGGTGGGATCTTGGGTACTTGGTGTCATCTGCTTCCACTCATAGATGCCCACTTCGTTGTCCTGGCTTTTTAATTTTAATAAATATTAAACAGCTTTACATCTTGGAATCTGGACTTGATATCTGTTCTCTTTTCACTTGTGATCTAAAATGTAGATAGGGGATAGCTTATCTGTGGTCAAAGGGTTTCACAGGAAACAAGAGAACCCCCCTCCCTCTGTATAACCATTTCTTAAACTTCTTAAGGTTTTTTTTTTCTTTAGGGTGTCATGTGTTATTTTTGACATGTAGCTGCATACTATATAAAAGAAACAGGCTGTTTGCAAGACAAGACACTCCTTTGGCATTTCTACGTAAAATCAAGACACACTGGCTTTGTCACAGCAAGCTTTTCATCTTGAGGTTTTGTCTTGATTTCTCAACCAAAGGAACTTCAGAGAAAGCGACTCTCCTCTTCTGATGTTCACCCCTCCCTGCACTTCTGTGCATCAGCTCTGTGTCCTATTGTATCGCCTATCACCTTTACAAAAGGACAGCTTTCATGTCATCTCTGTCTAAGGTCACTTTTGCCTCCAGCCAGGGCCATAGCAAAGAAGGCATTTCCCTAGAGAAAAGTTCATAAGGAGAATCACCAGAACCGATTCAGAGGAGTCACTTTCTTTCACCTGACTGTGGCCTTGTTACAAATACAAAAAGGGAGTGACTCACCAATTACTTCTGCCTTTATAACTCCAGTGTCAGTGGGAGCATCTTAACTTCATCTTGTATTTGGCAAGAAAAGATTCTGCTGAGAACACAAGGGATTAACTATTGAGAGATTGTCCTACTTTTGTCCAAGAAACATTTTTTTTTTTTTTTGTGGCTTTGCATTTGCTAGGCAGGCACTCTACTCCCTCAACCACACCTCCAGCCCCTTTCCCTCTGCTTATTTTGGAGATAAGATCTTGCTTTTTGCCCAGGCCAGCCTAAACCATGACCCTCCTATTTTACTTCCCATGGTTTCTAGGGTGAAAGGCATGTATCACCACACCTAGCTATTAATAGGTTGAGATGAGGTCTCATGAACTACCTGTTCCGGCTGGCCTCAAACTGTGATCCCCCAATCTCAGTCTCCTAAATAGCTAGAAATTACTAGTGTGAGCAACTAGTATCCAGTTTGTCCAATATCATGAAACACATTCTAGGATGTGCTTCCTCCATTCTCGTGTTTGTCTGCATATTAAGGAGGAGGCAGAAATTAACATGCCTTTTTTTGGTGTTGCAAATTGAACCTAGGGCATTGCACATGCTAGATAAATTACCTGCCACTGAGCTACATTCCTAATTCAACATGTTTTTGTTTGTTTGAGACAGGGTCTCACTGTGTAGCCCAGTTTAACCTTGAACTGTAACTTCTGCCCCAGCCTCCCAAGTGCAACATTTTATATTGTTTTTTATGTATCTTACTTTGCAATTAACATACATTGATAGTACAAGGTGGTTTCATTGTGATAATTCCATAGATACATACAGTGTACTTTGAACAAGTTCACCCCCTCCATTATATTCCTTTACTCCTTCCTCCTTCCCCCTTTGTAAACAGTATGTATTTATATGTGTGTAATGTACTTCAATCCTCTTCACCCTCACTATCTTTTCTTTCCTCTTTCCCCTTCCCACTCACCTTCCCCCAGACATTTTCACTTTTACATTTATGTCCCATCATTATCACCACCATTATCAATTTAGGTCTAGATTTCACAAATGAACAAAACATATGATGTTTGATTTTTGAGCTTGTTTTATCTCACTCAACATGGTAATCTCCAATTCCATCCATTTTCCTGCAAATGACATAATTTTATTGTTTATGGTTGATAATAGTCTATGCTATACATGTGTATATACACATACTATATTTTCTTTATCCATTCATCAATTACATGTCATATTCTTAAAGAATTATTAGATATGATTAGATAATAACTTAAAGTATTCTGAATTCACCAGACAGAATTAGAATAAGAAATTTTCTCTTCCTTTTTCCTTCTTTTTCTTTCCAAAAATCTCAGTGTTTGCTATGTGCCATATCATTGTGATGTATATTGTGATGATGTGAAAATCATTTGTATTATACATTTCTGTAGGGAGATTAGATTTTGATGTGTGGGTTGGATTAATACAGCCTGGAAGGATAGGTATTATTAGCATATGTACACTGATTTGAGGAAAGCAGATATGGGTGCAGCTAACTGTAGGATAAAATATGTGGGAAACATACAGAAAGGATGCTTTTTTAATTGGGCAGGGACATTTAAGCTGGAAACTCAGCACATGAAGGCTAGATCAAGTCAGAAAGAATGAGATTCAGAATTAAGCCTATGACAACGAAAAGTGAGAATAAGTTAGGCTGATCTTACACAGTTAGAATCAGGAGGATCTGATGTTTCCATAGGATGCAAAGGAACAAGAGAAGGTGTTAAAGACCCTAAGAAGAGATGACGATGCTTTCCAAAGAATCCCAGAATAGAGGATTTGCATTGAAGGGATTGGGGCAAGGAAGGGGAAATAAGAGAAAATGGGTATGGAAGGGAAAGAAAATAATAAAGTTGAGCTTGAGGTGTGTGAGAAAGCCAAACAGATAAGAGGCATCTTTTAGGTAAAATTCCTTGGAAAGTATATATTTTAGAAAACACTTGCTGGGAGATGATAATTAAAGCCATAGGGGCAAAGGAGATGGTCCACAGAGAGCATAGGACCAAGAAAGGGCTAAGCACCACTTTGAGATATGTCTCATATCTCAGAGATAGGGAGGAAAGAAGGAGCACTTCAAAACCATAGCAGTAGTGTCAGATGAATAAAAATCATAGATGTCATGATGACAACAGATATAACAGGGGAAATGATCACCTATGTCAAATAATTGA